AGAATATATATATATATATATATATATATATATATATATATATATATATATATATTTATATATATATATATATATTTAGTTCGGAATGGGATATATTTTTTTTTCTTTTCACTCCTAAAATGCAAAAAACCACTAAGACACAAGTGTTTCCTGAACGTTAGAGAATATGAGAAAACAATCAGTGTTACGGAGAGACGACAACAAATGGACAATAATTAAGAGGACAGTAGATATCGATTGACATCACATTCAATTTTTCGAAGATCTAATTTGAAGAGATCTACACTATACGAAAGGTGAAATAGAAGAAACTCCTAGCATAGAACTTGCGGTTACATCTAGCCATTTCAATTGTAAAATGATGAGACCATACCACCAATCTAGTATTGCGCTTAAATTCATAAAGTCTAGGTACCATGGCGTAAATTTCATCTGGACAATTAGCATGAAATTATTTTAGAAAAAGCAGAAGGAACCTAAATTACGGCGGTTAGCAAGAAAATATTCCGTGTTTATATGAGTCAGTAAGCATTTTCTTTCATATATATATATATATATATATATATATATATATATATATATATATATATATATATAGAGAGAGAGAGAGAGAGATATGGTAAATATACTCATACATATGCAAAATATATAAAATATATATACATACATATATACATATATATTTTATTAAAAATAATAGGATAGAAAAGAACTCACTATCCAGGACTTTTATAAAGGCTTAAACACATTTATTATATGACATAAATACACACCAGAGGATAGAACATAGAACTCACTGTCCAGGATTCTAAGATATTAAAAGGCTTAAACAATTAGCCTTTTTACATAAATGCTATATGAAAGTAATTATTACATAAATGTTGAGTAATCTTTTCGTTGTTTCGAACGAAAATGTTTTACTTTTCGTAATACTTTGCTTAAGTTTTTGAAGGCAAATTTCGCTATACAATGCTCGGTAAAAACACATTTAAAATCTTTTGTACTTTTTTGATTTTCTTGATTCCTATTCGTTTCCGTCTATAAGCATTGTCCAGCATTCACTGTCACATACGAGGATCGATATTACCGTATTTTCCGGCTTACAAGACGCTGCGGATTGGAAGACGCACCCTAATATTGGAAAGAAATTTCTCACAACTTCTGCCGCCATTTCTGCACACTATTGCTCTCTGGTGTGATTTTTCAATACACAACTGTAACGAGGCTATGAAATGAGTATGTGTACGGATTTTGGGCAAGATTAGGCATAATCTTAGCCATAATCCTGTACCCATTATGTCTAAGGGCATCACTCACATGGTCACCGCTGTCGACCAAGGCTGACGGACATCTCAACTCTCTCGATTTCTCTCCCTCTTTCTCTATCTCTCTCTTTCACTCTCTCTATCTATCTTTCTCTCTCTCTTCATCTCTCTTCACCTCTCTCTATCTCTCTTCCTCTCTCTCTCTCGCACTTCTCTCTATTTCTCTCCCTCTTTCTACCTCTCTCTTCCTCTCACTCTCTATCTTTCTCTCTCTCTTCCCCCTTTCTCTCCTTTATTTGAGCTACGTTACATCCGAAACAAGGAAAGGTAAAAGTGTTTAACGTCTGCTTCAGTGAAATGAAAAAAGTTCTCAATCTTAAATCTTTTCATTTGTACCCCCTTACTTCTTAAAGTATCGGCCAGCATTTATATTTATGATTGTTACTGCAATATTTTGTAAAAGTTGTTCAGTTCAAATATTTAACGATGCGATGGGGGAATTTCTACGGATATTTTATTGTCCAAGAACTCGCCATGAGCTTACACAATCGTTAACTGAAGAATTAAGATTCACCAGAAATTTCAAATAGGAAAACCGCAAATTTTTCACGGGTTAAAAACTATTATATATAAATCCGCGTATGTGTTGAATTTATTCAGTTTGAAAATATCGAAATATTCAAACCAATGTCATTACAATTGGTAACCTTCCGGCAGTGACGTGCAAAGATTTGGTAATGTCTGGTGATGCCGTTTCAACTGCTTGATTGCATGCCCCGTGACCAAAGTAGGGGATGAGGTTATAGGTCCTAGTACTGAGAAATGTGAGGAAGGTAGACATTTAAAATATGTAAAAACAGATGAAACATGAAATAAACACATATAAAGTTATCAATCTTAAATCTTTTCATTTGTACCCACTTCTTTAAATAACAGGCAGCATTCATATTTATCCTTTTCATTGCAATATTTTGTTAAAGTTGTTAAGCTCAAATATTTAACGACGCGATACGGGAATTTCTACGGATATTTTAATATGGTAGAACTCACCATGACCTTCTTCAAAGAAATAAGTGTCATCAGATAAGTTCTTGAAGATGTCAATTTTGAGTGATCCAGTTCACAAATGAAGATGCTTAAACTATGAAGGACGTCTATTTGTACATATATATATATATATATATATATATATATATATATATATATATATATATATATATATATATATATCAGTG